CGTATGAGTCCCTCGGAGCACGAGGAGTTACGTCGTCAGGTTGAGGAGCTGCTACAGCGGGGTGTCGTACGCAGGAGCCTCAGTCCGTGTGCGGTGCCGGCTCTCCTCATCCCAAAAAAGGATAGTAGCTGGCGTATGTGTGTTGACAGCCGAGCCATCAACAAGATTACTGTTCGCTACCGGTTCCCTATCCCTCGCCTCGACGACCTTTTGGACCAATTGCACGGTGCTTCTATTTTTACTAAGCTTGACCTTCGCAGCGGTTATCACCAAATTCGGATTAGACCCGGCGATGAGTGGAAGACCGCATTTAAGATCCGCGAGGGATTGTTCGAATGGATGGTGATGCCGTTCGGGCTCTCCAATGCTCCTAGCACGTTTATGCGTGTAATGAACCAGGTCCTACGTGATTTTATTGGCAAGAGTGTCGTCGTTTACTTCGACGATATCCTCATCTACAGTCGATCCTTGGAGGACCATATGCAGCATGTTCGGGAGGTTTTATTGGTCTTACGTGCTGAGTCTTTCTTCGCCGCTCCGCGTAAGTGTGTCTTTATGGTTGATTCTGTTCTGTTTTTGGGATTTGTTATTGCTGCTAACGGTATCCAGGTGGATGAGAATAAGGTAGCGGCTATCCGTGACTGGCCGACGCCTACTTCTTTCACGGAGGCCCGTAGCTTCCACGGGCTTGCCTCTTTTTACCGTCGATTTATATCACACTTCAGTACTATTACAACACCTATTACAGATTGTTTGCACGGTACGACATTTTCTTGGACCCCGCAGGCCGAAGAAGCATTTGTTCTTATCAAGGAGAAGTTGACTACCGCTCCGGTGCTCGTTTTATCGGATTTTTCGAAGGCGTTTGAGTTATCTTGTGATGCTTCTAAGGTGGGGATTGGCGCGGTCCTCAGCCAGGACGGTCGCCCTGTCTCGTTTTTTAGTGAAAAGTTGTCTGGGGCGCGTTCACGTTACAGCACTTATGACGTGGAATTTTATGCGGTGGTTCGGGCGGTTCGACATTGGCGGCACTATCTTTTTCATCGGGAGTTTATTATGTACACAGACCATGAGGCGCTTCGTCATTTGGCATCCCAGGATAATATATCCGCCCGCCATGCCTCGTGGGCTGCTTTCCTCCAGCAATTCACTTTCGTGCTTCGTCACCGTTCTGGCGTGTCTAACCGGGTTGCTGATGCTTTAAGTCGACGGTCCCTTTTGCTTTCTGATATGCGCGTCTCGGTTCTCGGTTTTGACACTTTACGCGATCGCTATGCCGAGGACGCCGTTTTCGGGCCTATTATCACACGCCTCGCCAACGGCCCGTTTGATGATTATGTCCTATCCGATGGGTTTCTTTTTCGGGGCACTCGGCTGTGTATTCCGGAGGGTAGCTTGCGTGTCAAACTCGTGGCGGATCTCCACGGCGCAGGGCATGTGGGCCGGGACCGATCGGTGGACTTGGTGAGTAGGCGATACTATTGGCCCACTCTTCGTCGTGATGTGTCCCGTTATGTGGAGCGTTGTCGGGTTTGTCATGTTTCGAAGGGTGTTGCTTCGAATGCCGGGCTTTATCGACCCCTTCCTATTCCTTCCCGGCCTTGGTGCGCGATTAGTATGGATTTTGTCCTTGGGCTGCCTCGCACGCAACGTGGCTTTGACTCTATCTTCGTGATCGTCGATCGGTTCTCGAAGATGGTGCATTTTGTGCCATGTAAGCGCACTACGGATGCATTGCATGTCGCTCAGCTTTTCTTCCGGGAGGTTTACCGTTTACACGGGCTCCCTTCCTCCATTGTCTCGGACCGTGACACGCGTTTTTTGAGCCACTTTTGGCGTAGCCTGTGGCGCATGGCGAACACTCAGTTGAATTTCAGTAGCGCATACCATCCTCAGACGGATGGACAAACTGAGGTGGTGAACCGTTCCTTGGGCAATTTGCTTCGTTGCTTGGTGGGGGACAATCTTCGTAGTTGGGACCATCGTTTGAGCCAGGCCGAGTTTGCACATAATACAGCGGTCAGTCGGGCCACTGGGATGTCGCCGTTCGCGGCTGTTTATGGCTTGTGTCCGCGGGGCCCGTCCGACTTGTTACTTTTGCCGTCCCCGCAGGACGATCGCCGGGCAGCAGACCTAGTGACGGAAATACGGGCAACGCATGAGGCTGTCCGGGCTCGATTGGAGGCTACGACAGCCGCATACAAACGGCGCGCCGATACCAGGCGCCGTCACGTCGAGTTCGACGTTGGCGATTACGTGTGGGCCGTCCTCACTAAGGATCGCTTCACGGCTCATGAGTTCAACAAGTTGTCGGCCCGGAAGATTGGCCCGGTGGAAATCGTGGAGAAGATCAATCCGAATGCTTATCGCCTTCGCCTTCCCTCCCATATTCGCACGTCCGACGTTTTTAACGTCAAACACTTGGTGCCTTTTGCCGGTGACAATTCTGACGGAGACGAGGCTGCTTCGGATTCGCGGTCGAATCCTCCTCAACAGGGGGAGGATGATGGAGACGAGGCTGCTCTGGCCTTTTTGGATAAATTTGATCGGCTCCGGATTTAGTTTCTTATTTATGTCATTATTCCTTTCTAGTTATTATTCTATTTCCTTATTTATTATTTCAGTTTAGGTAAGTGAATAAGGCCCTTGCAGTTGTTTTGCAAGTGTGGGCTCTTTTGCTATTTAATATCGTATGTCAAACATCAGAAGTATTGAAGAATTTATAAAATTTATCTGGTGTGTTCTATTTTCACGAGAGAGTATCTCGTTCTTCCCTGCTTTCGTATCACGTTCTACATCAATGGGTCAAACTGTGTAGCTATTAGACTGACTCGCCAAAAAATTTCATTTATTTTTGTAATAATATTAGTCGACTCGTCTAATCGTTAGATACAATAATTTGTGTTAATTTATGGGTTTCTTTTCACCACACCGTACACGCGTCAGAAAAATGTTTTTAAATTTGGGTCAGTTATTAAATGTGTCTTCAATGCATGACGGGGCCACGTTTTATGGCTGTTTTTTAGTTTTGGTATTAGTTGTCGCTTGAGATATGTATAATGTATTCCACGTTTTATTTTTTTTCCCCCTCTTTGTAGTTAGATGTATTGTTATAATAAGCATTTTTGCCATTTTTTTTTTAAATTTATTTTTAATTATTTATACTTCTATAATAACTTCAGACTGAATTAACTTTTGATCGATCACGCTGGAAAAATTGCCATACCAGCTAACATTGACTTAGTTTAAATTTGTGTTTTTTTATTACTAATTTAAATAAAACAAATAAAAAATAATAATTCACCAAAATTGTGGTTGTGTTTTACATGTCCTGCAAAAAAATACGAGGTTAAAACCCTATAATAAAATTAGTGGGCAGGTGAATGAACTTCACCTTCCGAATTGTTGAAATCTTTTGAAAAGCATTTATGGATTTGTGTGGTAAATATTTTACTATTAATGTTTTACATTTATTGTTACAAACCTACCAACACATTTGCTATTTTATGCACCAACTTATCGGAAATGTTACGATCTTGTTACTGAACTATTTTGTCGGGTTTTGTAACTGTTAAATCATCATGTACACGTCAAAGATAGTTGATCTAACGGTTTGTTACGGAACTATTTCACCAACTTACTATGACGATTGTACATTAATTTTTCACTGCAATTCTCATATAGTACAAGTTGAGACTGTTGAGTTTAGAACTTTATTATATTGAGAAATTTGCACCACATACAATCATATCTTATTTATATAACATTTTTACACCTATTTTAATTTTATTTATAAAATAGCTAATTCAACCGTAAAATTTTACAAATATA